ATGCTGTATAAGTATGCAGGAGACCAGGACTTATTTATAGTTTAGTTAAAGATGTATTGTGGGCTCTAAAATGAGCATTTTATGAAAAGAAAAATATTTCTTCTGAAAGAATCACACCAACTTTTCATGAAACTTTTTTATTTTTTAAGTTAGTGGAGAAAATCTGGTAACTTTTGCTGAATTTTTTCTTATATACAGATACAGTTCTTACTAGCCCAACAAATTGGGCGCTTTAGAGCTTTTTTTATATATATACGATGGTTGCCCTTCGTAAAAGACAGACATCTATGAAATATCAAATTATAAAATTGGTCTGTCTTGCCGTCGAAATTTATTGAGACTATTTTGTTCTTACTAACCTTACCAACTAATACCAATAGCTTTCATTTAAGTGACCCCAGATATGTAAATAACTCATTTATATCCAATTTTGTAGACAATATATGACACACTGATTAATTGCCTATTTCATGTAAATTTAACATACAAGAGGGCCATGATGGCCCTATATCACTCACCTTAAGGAATAGATTTAACTGGATTTTTCTTATTTAAAACAAGCAACAGGTTTATAAAATTCTTTAATGTTTATTTAAAGGTTAGTGTCAAATGTAAAAGTATTTTTGGCCAACAGCAAAACAGGAATGCAATTAAGTGTATAGAAATACATCTCTTTTTCTTTCCTTGAAAGTATAGGTTGCAAAAAAATAAACTCCCTGTAGTATGTTTACATCATGAAAATTTTAACAATGACATCATAATTAACAAGATGAAGTACAAATTAGGATACTACTTCAATAACAAGAGGGCCATGATGGCCCTGAGGTCGCTCACCTGTATATAGCCCCCCCCCCCCCACTCATAAAGAAGATGTTTTCATGCTAAAAATCTAAGCTCTAGCTCATTGGGGCTTTTTAAAAGAAGATTTTTTTTAAGTTTTTTACTATACACATATAGTTAAAAACAATGACACCCCTGGGGCGGGGCCTGTTTTGACCCCAGGGCTTTTAATTGAACAAACTTTGTAGACAAAATTACTAGAAGATGGTTCATGCTTAAGATCTAAACTCTAGCTATTTGGGTTTTTTTCAAGAAGATTTTAAGTTTTTGCTATACACATATAAGGAAAAATCAATGACCCCCGGGGCGGGGCCAATTTTGACCCCAGGGCTTTTATTTCAACAAACTTTGTAGACACTCACTAGAAGATGTTTCATGCTTAATATCTAAACTCTAGCTATTTGGGTTTTTTCAAAGAAGATTTTTTTAAGTTTTTGCTATACACATATAAGGAAAATCAATGACGCCCCCCCGGGGCAGACCAATTTTAAACCCAGGGCTTTTATTTGAACAAACTTGGTAGACACCTATTAGAACATGTTTGATGCTAAATATCTTAGCTCTAGCTCTTTGAGTTCTTTAAAAGAAGATTTTTTAAGTTTTTACTATATGCATATAGGGAAAATCAATGACCCCCTGGGGCGGGGCCAATTTTGACCCCAGGGCTTTTATTTGAACAAACTTGGTAGACACCCATAAGAAGATATTTCATGCTAAACATCTAAGCTCTAGCTCATTGGGCTTTTTAAAAGAAGATTTTTTTAAGTTTTTTACTATAGTTTTTTAAAAACAATGACACCCCTGGGGCGGGGCCTGTTTTGACCCCAGGGCTTTTATTTGAACAAACTTTGTAGACACTTACTAGAAGATGTTTCATGCTAAATATCTAAACTCTAGCTATTTGGGTTTTTTCAAAGAAAATTTTAAGTTTTTGCTATACACATATAAGGAAAATCAATGACCCCCGGGGCGGGGCCAATTTTGACCCCAGGGCTTTTATTTGAACAAACTTTGTAGACACTCACTAGAAGATGTTTCATGCTTAATATCTAAACTCTAGCTATTTGGGTTTTTTCAAAGAAGATTTTTTAAGTTTTTGCTTTACACATATAAGGAAAATCAATGATCCCCGGGGCAGGGCCAATTTTGACCCCAGGGGCTTTTATTTTGAACAAACTTGGTAGACACCTATTAGAACATGTTTGATGCTAAATATCTTAGCTCTAGCTCTTTGAGTTCTTTAAAAGAAGATTTTTTAAGTTTTTACTATATGCATATATAAGGAAAATCAATGACCCCTGGGGCGGGGCCAATTTTGACCCCAGGGCTTTTATTTGAACAAACTTGGTAGACACTCATTAGAACATGTTTCATGCTAAATATCTTAGCTCTAGCTCTTTGGGTTCTTTAAAAGAAGATTTTTTTAAGTTTTTTACTATATGCATATAGGGAAAATCAATGACCCCCTGGGGCGGGGCCAATTTTGACCCCAGGGCTTTTATTTGAACAAACTTGGTAGACACTCACTAGAAAGATGTTTCATGCCAAATATCTAAGCTCTAGCTCTTAGGGTTTTTTAAAAGAAGATATTTAAAGTTTTTTCTTTCGGTTGCCATGGCAACCAGAGTTCTGCATGGAATTAAATTCTTTGAACATTTTAAAGGTGACCACCAAAGGAACATTCCTGTGAAGTTTGTATGAAATTGGCCTAGTGGTTTATGAGGAGATGTCATTTAAAGTAAAAAATAAAAATCACAAAAAGGGTCAAAGACAAAAATGGCCGGGTTGCATTTGTATACCATAAATTATAGCAATTGACTCACGAGACTCACAGTGATGATACAAAAATTTCCTACCATTAATGTCGAACTATGTCGGTAAACAGGAAGTGGATAAGCGATAGACCTGAACTTGGGACCACATGTTAATGCAGTCATAATACCAAATATCAAGAGGCTGTGATATGTAGTTGCTGAGAAAACTGTTACGAAATTTCCTTCCATTTACAATTAATGCCGAAAATTTAACTAGTCATCCAACGGGAAATGAATGAGCCACATACCTGAAATCATATCCCATTGTATGTGACTACATGTTGATGCTGTATACCAAATATCAAGATTTTTCTATTTTTAGCTCCTGTGACCTATTTTTTCATCCGAGATGACCTATGTTCAATTTATTCCCAGCAATGACCTAGACAAGTTTCCTGACCAAGTTTGATGACAATTGAGTCAAAATTGTGACCACTAGAGTGTTAACAAGGTTTTTCTATTTTTAGCTCCTGTGACCTACTTTTTCATCCGAGATGACCCATGTTCGAACTCCTCCGAGCTATCACCTAGACAAACATCCTGATCAAGTTTGATGACTATTGAGGCAAAATTGTGACCGCTAGAGTGTTAACGTGGTTCTTCTATTTTTAGCTCCACTGACCAAGTTTTTCATCCGAGATGACCCATGTTCAAACTCATCCGAGCTTTCACCTAGACAAGCATCTTGACCAAGTTTGATGATGACTGATGCAAAAATGTGACAGCTAGAGTCTTAACAAGGTTTTTCTATTTTTAGCTCCGGTGACCTACTTTTTCATCCCAGATGACCCATGTTCGAACTCATCCGAGCTATCACCTAGACAAGCATCCTGACCAAGTTTGATGATGATTGATGCAAAAATGTGACCGCTAGAGTGTTAACAAGGTTTTTCTATTTTTAGCTCCGTTGACCTACTTTTTCATCCATCTGAGATGACCCATGTTCGAACTCATCCGAGCTTTCACCTAGACAAGCATCTTGACCAAGTTTGATGATGATTGATGCAAAAATGTGACCGCTAGAGTGTTAACAAGGTTTTTCTATTTTTAGCTCCAGTGACCAACTTTTTCATCCGAGATGACCCATGTTCAAACTCATCCAAGCTATTAACTAGATAAGCATCCTGACCAAGTTTGATGATGATTGATGCAAAAATGTGACCGCTAGAGTGTTAACAAGGTTTTTCTATTTTTAGCTCCGGTGACCTACTTTTTCATCCGAGATGACCCATGTTCGAACTCATCCGAGCTATCACCTAGACAAGCATCTTGACCAAGTTTGATGATGATTGATGCAAAAATGTGACCGCTAGAGTGTTAACAATGTGAGCTAAAAACAAAAAAAAACAGCAGTGATCTCAGGAAGGTCAGAATTTCATGTGGCAGACTGTTTGGCCAAAAATTTTCATGAGTCAAATCAGTTTTGTTTGTGTTATTTTTCTACATGAATCATTTTCATGTTGCAGAAAATACTGTTTGGGAAGTCATTTAGAGTAGATTTTCAAGTTTAAATTGATAACTATTGTAAGGTTAGGTAATTTTTAAATTATAAGCTTCTTGCTTAGTTAACAAAATGATAAAGATAATTAAGTATTTCTAGCAGGACCATGGATAATTACCATAATTATTGTTCCATTTTCACTTACATTTATTGAGGTGAATAACACATGTGTACATGTATAATTTTAGAAATGATATCATGGGAGGTGATATTTACATAAATACTGAATGTCATCCCTTAATACTTCACAAATAGTTAACAAAATACCTGTTTCAACGAAGCACACTGATAACCCGGCTGTACAATTTCCAAGGTTTCCTTGGACAATATCGTGGAATTTTTCATGGAAAAAACCTTGGAGTATTGGGTATACTTTTTCAATACAATAAGAGTAAATTAAGAACAAAAATGGCAGGGTCTTTCCTAGGACAAATGCTTGGACTAATGCTTGGAAACCTTGGAGCTTGTACAAGGTTTCCATGAACATATGCCATAAACCTTGGAAACCTTGGAGTATTGGACCAAGGTTTTTTTCATTGGACATCCTTGGAAAGCCTTGGAAAGCTTGGACATTTACATAGACATCCTCGGAAAGCTTGGACATTTCCATGGAAGTCCAATGTTATTTTCCTTGGAATTGTCCAAGGTTCTTCAAGTGAAAAAAACCTTGGAAAACCTGGAAAATACTAGGACATCTTCATGATCTTGCAAAGCCATAGACGCTGTATCTTTGATGCTTGTAATTTCTTACAATAGCCCCTTTGAGATATGGAATTTTCATCATTCTTATAACTAGTTGCCTTAATCCCTGACATATTGATAAACTCGCCTCCATCACTTTTAAACACTATATGTAGCACTGGTAGAATACAAAACATAAAATATTATAACTATTAAAACAATTTTTATTCCTCTTGGTAACATCAATGTCAATGTCAATTTCTGGACAGCTTCAAAAGTCACATTATTATGGCCATTTTCTCTTGATCAACTCTGAAATAAAAATTAAATTGCCATTAAAAAACTACATTCAAAACACTTAATTATACATGTAGTAACAAATGAGGAATGCAAGTCTTAAACAATATATTTTAAACGACAACATAATTTTATATTTCCCTTGCACAATTATCATTATCAAGGGAATAAGCACTCAGTAGGTTAAAAGAACAATATATATAAGACTTCCTAATTAATACAGATTTTACTTACTTTGAATAACTATGTATAAGGACATTAGAGTTTAACTACATTAGTTGCAACTTAATGCTGCGTAAAACTGTAAAATACTGCAATGAAAGGTTAATATGTTCAAATTTGATTACAATTCTAGGAAATAAAATTATACAAACCATGAAAGACTTTCAGTAATATTGTGTCCTCCAATGCTGGCCTTAATTGCTTTTGGTTTTAGTGTTGGTACTGTTGCCAGTAAAACACCTGCCCCTGTATTCTTCAACACTATAAAGTTTTCTGAACAGGAGCTTGATGGCTTTTGAGAAGTCATCACTGTACTTTACATATCCATACAGCTGTTCCTGGAATAATATAACTTAAGTTAGCAAAGTTTCAGTATATCTAGTCTATTTTAACATTAAATGCATTGAATTCTCCTTAATTTAAACTTTTTATCTTCAAAATTTAAGTTGAGCATACTAACTTGGAATTTCAGTTACAAGTAAATTAAACAAATAACTGACTCAGGTATAGAAATAATTAAATAATTTTGGTAATAAATCTAGATCTAATTATCAAATAATTATTCACAGCATAATTTATCAACCTTATTTTATAGAAACATTTTTACTTGCTGCCATAAACATATTTTGATTGTTTAAAATCACCATTATTCTGCATAAATGTATCTAAAAGTTATTTACCTGAAACTGTTTACTATGATTCTTGCATAACTTCCTGTCTCAGGTCATTCTTAGTTCATTTTACAACAACCAAACAATTCCACAATCTTGTCACATTTAGATAAATGTTTTCTTTGAAATTCCACAATAATGTACACAACATTCAAAAACAAGATGATATCTCCAAAATAGCTAAAATGCCACTTAGATCCTTTATGGTTAGCACTGAATGTCTGAGATTTCAAATTTTGCAACGGTTTCAGTCTGGACAGGTCTATCATAATGTGAAACAGGGATTATCAAAAAAAAAATCATAACACCCATCATTATATTTTTACATTTATTGAATGTATAAACATATCAAATGATAAATAAATGTAGAATTTGAAAATAATAATAAGTGTGTAAAAAATCAAAGTTTCAATGTCCTTCTAAACTGATTTTTTACAAATGTATCATGCTCAGATTCCCTTAATAACCACAATCACATGGAACAGTCCGGTCAGTATCCCAGAATGCCCCATGAGGTCAGATTAGTCATGCATAGATAGAAGGAAGGGCAGATGGTAATCATTAGTCTTATCTGATCTGTGTGTTATATTCTGCTGTTTGCAGTATTTATTTATCCTGACTTAAAGAAATTATCAGGCAAGCTGGTTATTATATTTAACAAATTTTGCATATATATAATGGGCAATAATTATTATATAATTTATGTGTTTATTGTACACATAAACTAAGTGGCAGAGTAATCTAAATGTATGTCTACAAATATTCAGAGAATGTACTATTTTATATGGCACAAAATCATATACTCTTATATTAAAGTTTAATAGCATTCTAAAAATTATTTAACTGTTGCTTACATGCTGTCAAGAAATAAAAAAGTCTAAAGATACAAACTGCAGGAAGATACTCATGCATTTAGAAACTTAGAAACCAACAGAACATTTTCCATACTGTATTAAAAATTTTTTACATGTATGTATTATACATATGTATGCATGTACATGTATAATTATATTTGATATTTTTAATAACTTTATATTTAATAATTAAATACAAAACTCAATAAATTATCATATTTCTTTAAAATGTCTATTTATATCTTCTGAAAAGGATTAAATATTCTTTTCCCTTCTAGCACATCATACATGACAATAAATGTAAAATAATTCATTATTCATTATCATTAGGATGATTGAAAAAATGAAAGAAAAATTGCCTAAGTCCTTCGTCCAAGCTGAAAATTTTCTAAGTGTTTCGTTCCAAGTGAATTCCAAACTAAAAATTTTCTAAGTATCTGAATGTGTTCATTTTCCCAGCTTGAAAAAAACTATGTTTTACTTTCCCAGGTATTGTCCAAGCGATTCCTAGGAATTTTTCAGACAACCATGGAATATGTCCAAGGAAAAGTTAGAAAAAAACCCTTTCACCTTGGACAACTGCAACATTGTCCAAGGTTTCCTAGTAAAACTGCCATTTAAGCTTGGACTTCCATGGTTTTTTCCATGATTTTTCTTGAAAACCTTGGAAATTACACAGCCGGGAATTGCATTCATCTTCATTTCTTTGTTTTGAAATACGAGTTTATGTTACAAAATTTCTCCATTGCCTTGTGCAAGGCCGCCATTTTGTCCTACTTCGGTTTAGTATTGTTTATAGGTCAGATTGATAAAGATGTTTTCTGAGGCAAAAATGTTGACTCAGGACTGATTGATATGCGTTACTTAATGATTTGAATTGTATGTTTATGATCAGAATGAAATATTATGACATAATTCGTTCAGCAGATTCAGTAAGACCGGTGTACACATAATTGAAATATATGATTTTCCCGGCAAACCGGAAAGGATGTATTTAAGTAATATCCATACTGTAAATTAAACTTTTATCTTAATAAGCTATTTTTTTGAAAAAAAAAAACAACATTTTTTGTTCACTTTCGTTTCTTTGTGCAATATCTTACACAATAAAATTGCAAGGCAAGAACCGAAATATTTTACATTGTATTTCGGAAATGACACAGTATCCTTTCTGATGGTGTTACAAAATTAATGGAATAATCCATTATTGAATGGGGAAATCAACTTCACTGTAGCTTGAAATTTGGGCTATTCTGATTAACTTTGTTTTGAATTAACATTCAACAACATTTTCATCTTTCTAATGCTTTAACAGAAAAAATCCTCAAAACAATGTCTGTTGAGACAAAAAATACAAGATACACTTTCTCAATTTATCCCTACAAAGACAGTCTATATAATCTTGCAATAAAAAAAAAAACCTTTAACCCCCAAAAGAAGAGACCAATTTTTAACTCTAGACCATAATTTGAATAAACTTTGTAGAAACCAACAAGCTTATGCCTTGTGAGAAATATCTAAGCTCTAGCCCTTTCCATTTTGAAGTATAAGAAATTTTAAGTTTTTTCTTTTAGTTGCCATAGCAACCAGGGTTTAGCATGGAATAGCATTCTTTGAACACTATGTGCAAGGTGAGCTAAGAATCAGTTCAATAAAAACAAAGGCTTTTCTTTAGCTTTTGACGTTTAGTCTTCTTCAGAAAAAATTGATGTTTATAAAATAACAAATGACAAATGACGCAACATCCCTTTAATTTATATATTATGCTATAAACAGAACGCGACGTTTACGCTGGAATAAAAAACTTTGTCAAATAAATACAGAATCTTTCATGAATATAAATATAGCAATATACAATAAATTACACATATAATATGGATCTGCACATGTGATACAAAAATTCTCATAATTAATAATAAAAAAAAACCTTGATAACATACTACATGACATTGTATATGTATACCGGCTCAATAATGACAAAGTTATATATTGTACAAAACTTTTGCATTTATCATACCCTTAGGAGATAATGACTTTTTGTGCTAAGCTTATGAATCCAGTATGATTCTTGTAATAAGCGTTCCATATCATCGAAGACAAGCTCTTAGGTTTTTTTTGGGTTTTTTTTAAATGTAAATTTAACCAAATAACCATTTACACATATGATAATGCATACATTTTATCCAGTAATTCATTGATCCCAATAAAAATTTGCAAGCTTATTGCAGAATAACATCCAAAGAAAGTGTCAAAAATTGGATTTATTTCATTGGAAAAAAAAAAACAAGAGGGCCATGATGGCTCTAAAGTCGCTCACCTGTATATAGGCCGGAGCGGTACCAGTTTAAACCCAGGGCTTTTATTTGAACAAACTTGGTAGACACCCATTAGAAGATGTTTCATGCTAAACATCTAAGGTCTAGCTCGTTGAGTTTTTAAAAAAAAAAGATTTTTTAAGTTTTAACTATACACACATAGTTAAAAGCAATGACACGCCCGGGACGGGGCCAGTTTTGACCCAAGGGCTTTTATTTGAACAACATTGAAGAAACTCACTAGAAGATGTTTCAAGCTTAATATCTAAACTAGCTATTTGGTTTTTTTTTTTCAAAGAAGATTTTTCTAAGTTTTTGCTATACACATAAATAAAATCAATGACCCCGGGGCGGGGCCAATTTTGACCCAAGGGCTTTTATTTGAACCAACTTTGTAGACACTCACTAGAAGATGTGTCATGCTTAGTATCTAAACTTGGATTTTTCAAAGAAGATTTTTTAAAAAGTTTTTACTAATAAAATTAGACATATAAGGAAAATATGGCAGGGCCAATTTCGACACCAGGGCTCTTATTTGAACAAATTTGGTAGACATCCATTAGAAGATGTTTCATGCTAAATATCTTAGCTCTAGCTTTTTGGGTTCTTTAAAAGAAGATTTTATAAGTTTTTACTATATGCAAATAGGGAAAATCAATGACCCCCTGGGGTGGGGCCAATTTTGACCTTAGGGCTTTTATTTGAACAAACTAAAATGGTAGACACCCATAAGAAGATTTTTCATGCTACATATCTTAGCTCTAGCTCTTTGGGTTCTTTAAAAGAAGATTTTATAAGTTTTTACTATATGCATATAGGGAAAATCAATGACCCCCTGGGGCTGGGCCAATTTTGACCCCAGGGCTTTTATTTGAACAAACTTGGAAGACACCCATTACAAGATGTTTCATGCTAAATATCTTAGCCCTGGCTCTTTGGGTTCTTTAAAAGAAGATTTTTTTAAGTTTTTACTATATGCATATAGGGAAAATCAATGACCCCTGGGGCAGGGCCAATTTTGACCCCAGGGCTTTTATTTGAACAAACATGGGTTTTTTTAAAAGAAGATATTTTAAGTTTTTTCTATCGGTTGCAAAGGCAACCAGAGTTCTGCATGGAATTTAATTCTTTGAACAATTTTTAAAGGTGACCACCAAAGGAACATTCATGTGAAGTTTGGATGAAATTGGCTCAGCGGTTTATGAGGAGATGTCATTTAAAGTAAAAGTTTACGGCCGGACGCCGGACGAAAAGCGATCACAAAAGCTCACTCTGTCAATTTGTGACAGGTGAGCTAAAAAATTGTTCAAAAAGTTTAAGAAATTATATTTCTGAAAAATGATGACATGCAATTGTTTATACTGTAAAGCACTTGTTATTGCTAATGTAAATGCTAAAGCAAATGTTACTGATAATTGTTAATGTTTATACCTGTTAAAGTTTTAATTCTGTTGTTGTATATTGTTAATTAACATATGTAGATAATTGAAAAATAAATCGAGAAAAAAATATTGTGAAATTTTATGTATGCTTTGCTTACTGTATAAGATGCAGTTAATTGGCTACTAAAGATAATTAATTATTAGTACTTTTAATCAGTTAGTTATAAAGAGTCATTGCTAATCTAATTTATACTATTCCAAATTTCATAAGAATAACTTCAAAAAATAAAAAAAGTTATGGCATTTTAAGTGCCCGAATTAGTCGTAAACATAATTATTTCGGTTCCTTCGCGGTGCGCGGCGCGCTGTCTTTCTAATAAAAAAGCATATAAAATAATTCTGAAAAACTGCGCGTTTTTTTAAGATCTTAAGAAGCCATAACTTTTTTTATTTTTTTAGATATTTTAAAAAAAGAAAACTGTTCTGGGAAAGCTTATGATGAGCTCTATGTAATGAAAATAATTATTTATTTAAACAATTAGGTGAAAAAAATGATGTGTTGTTGCTATTTTAAGAGTGGGCCCCCCTTTTTTCCAAAATGACCACCTTTTGAAAAGTTTATGGGCCCGAAGGGCCCCCTGGGACTTTGTTCTAGAAATTTAACACACTTTTTGCCCGATATTTTTGTTAAATTTAAACAAACCCAAAAAAAATAACAAAATTTAAAATTTCTTTTTAAAAGCCCCTAAACTTAGGAAACCTTTGGAAATTATTTTTCTTATGGTGGGAAGACCTTATTTTAATTTTGAATTTTAAAAAAAGGTTTATACTCAGTAAAAATCATAAAACTTTTTTCTGCCCCCACCCTAATTGAATTTTAAAAAATCTTTTTTGAGAAAAATTGTTTTTTCTATCCCTCACTTTCTACATTAAAAAATAATGATATTTCCTTCTATATGAATAAAATAAATAATCAAATGTTTTGAAAATTATCAAAAAAGTCAATCTTAAACCCAAAAACTTTTTTGGTTTCCAAACTTAAAAGTTTTCAAACCCGAAATCATTATTTTCCTATTTTTTAATTCTTTTCATTGTTGGAAATTATCCATTGTCAATATTTTCTTATATTAAATTTGAGCAAGAATATCTCTTTAAACAATTATTTAAAGAAAAGCCATGACCTGGAGCATTTAAGCTTTAGCTTAAACGAG